GCGCGCGCATCTGAGTGTGCCATGCGCATGCGCTATGCGCCATGCGCACATCTGTATGCGCCGTGCGCTGGTGCGCGCACAACTGCGGGCTGTTCCCCTGGGTGGTGCGCCAGATGCGCCGCATTATTTTTTTTTTTTTTTTTTTTTTCGGGCCTCCCCCTCCTGCATTGCGCGTTGCCTAGCCAAAACCGTGCCTTTCTGTGCTCCCCCCGACGACGAGGGAGAGATGGACGAAGGAGGAGGAGAGAGAAGGGGGGAAAGGAGGAGGAGAGAGAAGGGGGGGAAGGAGGAGGAGAGATGGACGAAGGAGGAGAGAGAGAGGGAGGAAGGAGGAGGGAGAGATGGATGAAGAAGAAGGGAGAGAGAAGGAGAGAGAAAGGGATGAAGGAGGAGGGAAAGATGGACGAACGATAAGTGGGAGAAGAGGAGGGAGAGATGGACAAAGGAGGAGGAGAGAGGAGCAAGGAGGAGGGATAGATGGACGAAGAAGGACGAGGAGAGAGAAAGGGAGGAAGGAGGAGGGAGAGATGGACGAAGGAGGAGAGAGAGAGGGAGGAAGGAGGGAGAGCCGAAGGAGGAGGAGAGAGAGGGAGGAAGGAGGAAGCAGAGAATGGACGAAGAAGAAGGGAGAGAGGAGGGAAGAGAAAGAGAGGAAGGAGGAGGGAGGGACGCTGGTGTCGCGCGGAGCGAATGGCCCTGTGGTTACCGACCAAAAAAAAACAAAAAAAACAAAGGTGATTGGATGGTGGAGTATTCGAGAGAGAGAGAGAGAGAGAGAGAGCTTGAAAGGGAGGTCGGAGGAGGGAGAGATGGATGGTGGAGAAAGGAGGAAGAAAGGAGGCGGGAGAAATGGAGGAGGGAGGAGGGAAAGACGAACGAACGAAGACTGAGGGAGGAAGGAGGGAGAGCCGAAGGAGGAGGAGAGAGAGAGGGAGGAAGGAGGAGGGAGAGATGGACGAAGAAGAAGGGAGAGAGGAGGGAAGAGAAAGGGAGGAAGGAGG